TTCCTGATTAACCAACTATCGATTAATGAACATTCAACCCTTTAATTAATTAAACTATTAGTTAATTCCCATAATATATTTCCAAAATATATTTCCAATTAGTTTCTAATTAATTATTAACCATAATAATTAATAAACCAATTTCTCCTTTATTTATTCTACTCAATTTGGGTCTTGAGGGCAACCCAAAAGGACCCTGCTATTATTAGAAATATTACCAATAGTTAATGACCTTGGACACTATTCCAACAAACCCCACACTCAGGCTGCTAGCTACAGTCAGACATACACGCCTATGAGTGACAATTGTTATCAACAGTTTAAACGCCTTCAAAGCGTTTGTTTCAGGCCATCTAGTCATAGTATGGTTATAATAACTCATTAAAAAGATATTAACAATACGGTTAGTGTATAATTAACTAAAACATGAGTACATTTTCAAAGTACCAGTTTTACAAACATACAGTTTACAGTAGTACATTACAGTTTACAATAACAACTGTGGAGCCAGGCACACTCACATTTACAGGTTTTACAAAGAAATACAAATACAGAACATTGATTTTAAAAACAGAACATTTTTATGAGATTAAAACTACTTTTCATATACAGCAGAAAATATAGGATTTTCTGGGAACAGTTTACATATTCAAAGAACAGAAAACATGCTTTCAAAACATAAATACTTATGCACTCACTCAACTTTATGTTGATACTCTCTTTTCAAATTACTTGTATTCTTAGGGAATCAATAGCAGGTACTCCCCGAGCCTATGAGAAGATGGTGTTGTTTTGAGTCGAGTCTTCGATGTTTTTTTATAATTATTTTGGTGTCAATATACTATGATTGAACACATGTATAAACTTATACTTTTCAATACAATGGTTGTTTATAGTTTAATTACTATATGCATGTGTTGTTATACTACAAATGAAGTCATCCACTCCCGGACATTTCCGCCGTCTAGTTTGGGGGTGTGACAAAATAGATTAAAGGTGGGGGTGGAAAAATGTAGGTGTTTGGTGGGTAATATGTTATGAAGATAAGTAGCGGTGTGTAGAGCCTCTACCCAAAATTGAAGGGGTAAATGGGTATGAGTCATAAGAGTGTGGGTGATGTCGTTTAAGCGACAAAGCATCCGTTCAACCTGACCATTTTTTTGGGAGGTTTGGAGACAAGAAAAGCGAAAGGTAAGGTCGTTGGTTGAAACAAGCCGATGAAATTTGTAAAAATTGGTAAAAGTTTCTAATTTATATTTTAATGGGTACACCCATACATCAAGAGTGAAATTATCGATCAAGACCATATAGTATTTGTAATTGGATTTACTCAAAATTGGAGAAGTCCACAAATCACAATGTATTAAATCAAAAGGTGCAAGGGTAACCAAGTGAGAATCATAAAATGGTAAATGTGTGTGTTTAGAATGTTGACACGAGTGACAAAAATACTTGGCTGTAGCCTTATTACAATGGATTGAAAAACGAGTACAAAGTAAATCCAAAATTGACTCGCCAGGTGGCCTAGCCGGTTGTGCCACTGATCTGTAGTAGTAGAGAGACAAGCTGAAGCGATGGGTGGTGATGTGAAGAGGTAGAGTTCTCAGAGCTATTGTGTCGGGACATGAGGGCTCCACTCTTGAGATCCTTCACGGAAAAGCCAAAAGGATCAAATTCAACGGATGTATTATTGTCAATAGTAAACTTACAAACATATAATAAATTTTTGATAATGTTGGGTGTGAAAAGAATATTATTTAGGCGGTAGGTTTGGTTTGGTAATTTGTGGGTTGAATTGCCAGACCCATGAATTGGAATTGTCTTGCCTTCTCCAACAAAAATAGAGTTAACAGGAGAAGAAAACAAAGGTGTAGTGATTTTACCTTGATCTGTAGTAACATGAGAAAATGCTCCAGAGTCCATATACCATTGGGGGTCATGAGGATTTAAATGAACTTGTTGGAGAGCCTGAGATAAATCATTGGGATTAAAAACATTATAACCTCCAAAATCAGTTGTTGGAACAGCTTCATGAGTAGGAGTAGACCGGTGAGCAAATTGGGTTGGAGGGGAGGATCGTTGGGCAGCTCCCTGTTGAGGCGAGTAAGTGGGATAGTGATATGGGGTTGAATAAGTAGGTTGAGTTGGGTAGGGTGCAGGATGTGGTGTCCATGATTGTTGTCCCCACTGATGCGATTGCCATTGTTGATGAGGAGCATTCCACTGTTGCTGCGAGTAGCCGCAACCACGATGTCTGTCGGAACAGCCTCAACCACCAGTGTTGTGTGCTGGAGCAGCGGAACGATTGTCTTGAGGGTCGACAAGAACTGATTGAATCGGGTTTTTTCCGGGCAGCCACACGTTGTTGCTCTAATTGAATCATGTTGCGTGCGGTATCCCAACTAATATCGAAGCTTTGGTTGATAAAGGATGTGACGGTGTCGAACTTGGGGGGGTAGGCCTCGAACAAGTTGAAGGATAAGCTGAGATTCAGATACGGGATTATCAATGTCTCCGAGTTGTTCAGTAAGATCAAAAAGTTGTTAACAATAATCGTCCATAGACAAATAGGTACTGAGAGTAAGATAGCAGAACTCTCCTTCACGGGCCGCCGCCCTTGATCCTTTGTTACTGTGGTAAATCTTTTGAATTCGGAGCCAAGCCGCACGAGCGGTCGTTTTGATCTCTAGCATTCTGCCAAGAACCTCATCTGAAATAGTAGCATAGATCCACTGTAGAACTAGTGCATCGATTTCTTTCCATTGGGTGTAGCCTTCGTCTGTCTCCTTCGGTGGTTTTGTGTCATCGATGTGATCAACAACTTTATATGCAGTGGCGTGAAGTGTGAACAATTTTGTCCAAGCCGAGTATATAACTTTAGATCCGTGAAGAGTGCGGACTTTGGTTTGGATATTTGTGACTTTGTAAGCCGGGTGTAAGGCAGCATGAGTCTTGGAGTCGGAAGATCCTGGTTTATCTCCCTTGGAGGTGACACAGTAAAAAATGTCAAAGGCAGCAGAGATAAAAGAATAAAAAATAAATAAATAAAAATCAAGGGATGCTGTTAGGGTTTCAGAACCATAGCTCTGATACCATGAAAGTAGATTGGGATTGAAGGAATCGATCCCCTGTATTGATTATTAAAACCCATATAGGGGAAGAATTACATGGAAAATACAGCCACTATTTTAGGAATAGATAACAATAAATACAATACAATCTATATCTAAGTGTGAGATTTGAGTCGGTCTCTAATAATTTGTTTGTAAATAAAATTTACTTGTTAGTTTCATTTATATACCTAGTAAATACATATTAGAAGTTAGTTTTCTGCTGTCATAATTCTGTAAGTTTAGTTTTCTGTATTGATTTCTGTTTCAATTTACGGTGTTGAATTAAAGGTTATTTATCATGCTTGATGCTGGTGTTATCCTCTCTGCTGGTATATTTTTATGTTGCCCCATGCGTAGAAAGGAAATAACTTAAATTTTCCTAATAGAATGAAATCATATCTTTTAGAAATTCTATCTTTTGGTGGCTGCATATGCTGACTAACAAGCAAGCTTTTTGTAAACAATATCTGCAGTGGATCGTCGTGCATGACTTATTTCTTTTCTTTTCTTTTTTTTCTCATTTTTTATATACATTAATATACAATTTCTCCTCTGTTGTAGTTTTAGATTGGTGAAAAGTTAATGATATGCCCTGCAATGTGGAATCGTCATCAATATTATTTGCTGAAATTGTCACAAAGTTGGAGGATTTGAAAATGAGTGCTAACTGAGACGTACATTTTTGAGTTAAACACAACACTATACATGTTGATTGTGGTTTACATTTTTTTCATATTTGGTATTTCACTTGATCTATCATTTTGTAATTCATCCCGAAAGTAATTAGTGTGGTATCTCTGTCACTAATGATGCTAAGATAGACCTTAGAAACATTAGACTTGTAGTCAATTAAGTTATATTAGTAGTTTTGTAGGTGTAGTACAAATCAGTTTCAATGAATGAGAGGCAATCTGCAGAAAATTCCAATGATGAATTATACAAGAAAATAAAGCAGAAATGAACTTTGCAACTTGGTCGATTAATTGCGATAAGAAGTTGTAGGTTTAAGTAGTAAGTGAGAGAACGAGTGTTCTGCATTTTAGTATAAAGTGTTTAAAAATTAAATTCATAAAAAGTTTGGAGTTTTACACAACATTTCTACTTGTCTCTTTCAAATGTTAAAGAATAGCGATTTCTCATACAAATGGATCGCTAGGGAGAAAGTCGGACGGGATTTTATACTTGAACAACAGGAGGAACAAATGATACAACGTATTTATACTCCAACACACTGAAATAACTAATTAACATCTCTATTAATGTACACCTTCGAATCATTTAAGCTGACAGAATTTGCTTCACGCGGTGCTCCCCGTTTAACCGTTTCTTTATTTAGCCCATTGCAACCATTGAACCTCAAATGTCGGATAGATGACATGTTAGTTAACCACATAGGCAGCTCTTGTATTCCGAATTTACGTATTTGTAACCAAGTCAGTGAGGTGAGCTGTTGTATTTCTTCTGGCATTGACTCCAAATCATCCCAACCTTCCAAAGATAACTTGTGAAGGTGGTTCCTTAACTTCTCAATGCCTTGGAGACTCGGGAAAGAATTGAGCTCCTTTGAGAACGGACCAAGTACCAAATGGTTTAAGAAGGCAAAACAGTCAAACATTTTTAGAGGCAAGGAATTCATTTTGCTGCAGTTGGTAATTTTCAAAGTCTTCAAAGAATGACACTGGTTGGGCAAATTGGTTATTCCTAAAAGACTATCACAACTGGAAATTACTAAAATTTTGAGAGATGTGAGGCCTTGTATGCTCTTAATGGACACCAGACCTGTGCAGTAACATATACTTAAGGAGACAAGAGGATGGAGATGGCATTCATCTAAGATAATAATCTTTGGGCAAAGACCAATCTCCAAGCTCTGGAGGAAAGGTGATATCATTTTGAGTTGTTGGGTGCTCCATCTACCCACTTTTCCAGTCTTTCCATATTCCATAGTTTTAGAGATCTCAACGATAGAGACAAAGGCTTCGTTGATCCAGTAACATCAGAACTCCTTAAGCATGTCAAGTTGTCCATATGCTCCAACACAAGATCCCGAAGATGTGGTAGCAGCTCAAGCATTGGAAGAAAGCGGCAGCTCCTACAGAAAGATAATTTGATCTCCACCAGCTTGTCAAGGGGAGTCCATTTCCTTTCAATATCAATTGCAGATGGCAGGTAATTATCACCAGAAAAATTGGCTATTCCTAAAAGACTATGGCAACGATTGATAGATAAAGATTCAAGAGATGTTAGGCCTTGTATGCTCTTAATGAACACTAGACCATTGCAGTTCGATATCTCTAAGGAAACAAGAGAGTGGGGATGGAATTCATCTAAGAGAATAATCTTTGGGCAATAACCAATCACCAACTTCTCAAGGACATGCGATATCATTTTTGAGCTGTTGGGTGCTCCAGCTATCCACCATTCCAGTCTTTTCATATTCCATACTTTTAGAGATCTCAACGATAGAGACAAAGGCTTCGTTGATCCAGTAACATCAGAACTCCTTAAGCATGTCAAGCTGTCCATATGCTCCAACACAAGATCCCGCAGATGTGGTAGGTGCTCAAGTGTCGGAAGAGAGAGGCAGCTACGACAGTCAGATAATGTGATTGACATGAGGTTGTTAAGGGGTGTCCATTTCCCTTCGATATTGATTGCCATCTTCATTACCCATTCCGGAAAATTATCACCAGAAAATCTTTTAATTGTCAATGTTTTCAGATCTCCAGGGGGTTGCAAGCCTTCCAATACATCCTTGTTGTTTCTGTTGGCACCTTTATTGTGCCCACTCCATTCGAATCCAATATTGGATAACTTTTTCTTGCTAGCTAAATCTGCCTTGACAGCATCCTCTTTCCTGCTAACATTTTCTAGAGCGGAAATGCAGAGATATCCGCTAAGGTTATTTAGATGACGTAGCACTTCAATACCATGTCCCATACTACTAAGCACTGTGAAGGAAGACAAATTTCGAAGAGAGGTCAGGTGTCCTACAATATTGGCGGGAATCTCCATGTGACCCTGGAAATATCGCAGGCTTATCAAATTTCTCATGGATTCTGGGAACTGCTCGAATCCAAAAGGCAACTTTAGAGTTTGCAAGTGGTATAATTTACCAATAGATTCCGGAAGAACATAGATCTCCGTATATGACAAATCAAGATGCCTGAGATGCACCAACTCTCCAATTGAATCGTGTAACTTATGTATATGATATCCTTTGAGTTTTAGGATTCGCATGCAGTTGAATCGTTGAAATGAAAATTTCTTCTCAACTTCACCCTCGATGAACAATGTACGCAATCTTCTAGCCACTGTATCCCTTTCAATGAGCTTAGAAATCTTGCCTTCTGATTCCTCAAACAATTGGTAAAAAACGAGATGCTTAACCTGAGGAATACGAGTGATATCATTATTCTTCACACCCGTCAGAACTAAGATTTCTTGTGTCGAAAGTGATAACAAAAGATCATGCACCAGATCATGCATACTACAATGAGTGATGTGACTATACCCATCCTTTTTAACATCTAACTGGAACAACGAATTGTTAACCAATATTTGAAAAATATCATTTCCCACATCCTCCATCTCCTTGTTTTTTGCCTCATCAGCTTGAACCAACCCTAAAGCCATCCAAAGTCGAACTAGTTCTCCCTTTTCCATGATCGTATCTTTCTTAAAGATGGAACAATATACAAAGCATTGCTTGATAATAGAATTAGGAAGATTATCAAAGCTCAGTTCTAAACTCTTTTGAACTTTACCCATTCCTTCTTCTAAATCCCAAACCTTGCTGTTTTTGATGGACAACCATTTCTCTGGATCACTGCAATTTGCCAACATGCCACCTAATACATTTAGTACCAACGGTAAACCACTACACTTTTTCAAAATCTCACGACCTATCGCCTCCAATTCCGCCGAAGGCGATTCTTCTGCCAGAAATGCTCTTTCTCTAAAGATTGACCAACACTCATCATTGGAAAGCCTTTCTAGACGACACGAATCCCTGATCATATCGTGAGTTCCGATTTCAAGTTTCCGTGTAGTGACAAGAATGCCACTTCCATTTTGTGAGTTTACATTTAACATACAAGTCCTAAACTCTTCCCAGTATGGCCTCTCTTCAACCCAAACGTCATCCAAGACGAGCAAATATTTTTTTCCTCTCAACTTCTCTTCAAGACTTTTAATTAAATTAACCTTAGATTCTGACTCTGGTTTCTTTCCAGCAAGAGATTCATAGATCTTTGCAAGAAGAGTGATGATGTCAACCTTAACCGACACACACAACCATGCTCTCACATGAAAATAATCCTTGCTCTTTTTATCATTGTAAACCAACTTAGCCAAAGCTGTCTTCCCAATACCGCCCATTCCCACAATGGGAACAACCGTAAATTTTTCTTCCGTTCTTGATACCGTTAAAAGCTCTATGATACGTAGTTTATCATCATCCCTCCCTACAATTTTAAATTCTTCTCGATGTGGAACAGTCTCCCGATAGAGGCGATCTGGAACAGGCTCAACAGGGTGCTCGTTTTGTAGTCCTAAACTGTTGGCTTGTGTATAGATCTCAAGCAACGATTTATTGATATTTTCGATTTTATGACCTATTTCATTATGAATTGAAAACTTTTTCAAGACTGGAAGAGATGATACCATTCTTTCACCCTGCTCTCGTTTCTTTATCTTACGCCTCAACATTTGGTAATCAATCTCATCCAACACATCATCAGCTTCACCCACAACATCTTTTAGCTGCTTCAGCCACACCATCACAGCCGCCTGTGTATCCTTTTTTCCCTCCGCATCGAGCAACTTGGCACGAACCATCTCCAATGTTCTGTGGAGGCCAGTAAGCTTTTCTTCATAACCCCAAGCAATGGCGATTTCACCGACAGCGATAGTCAACACCTTTTTCAGTATCCCCTCGGCGGCAATAACTACTAAAGCTTCGGCCATTTTCACTGTTGAGAAATCAAGAGAGTGAGATTATGAGAGAGACTGAGAGGGATGGAAAGAAGCTAGTGAAATGTGACGGAAACAAATCAAGTCTCAAGCATGTCCTTTCTTCATTTCTTACTCTTTTTTATGTTTATTAATATATCATTTTGTTTACTCTCGTACTTTTTGTATGCAATATTTTGTACATATACACCAGTTTATTTTTTATTTTTTTTTAGTTTCGTATGCATGTTGTTGTATGAATATAAACATAATAATTAAACAAGATCACTTAATTATAATAAAAGATGGTTTTCTGTTAGATTTAGATTGAAGAGTAGAGTAGTGTGCATGTGTAAGCATAAAATAAAAGATGGTTTTCTGTTTGATTTAGATTTTCTGTTAGATTTATAAATAAATAAATAAATAAATAAGAGTAAAATGTAATTTCTTTTTATATATTAGAACAGCTTACATATACACAATGATTTACTCTTAAATCTATATCTTTCGTCCATAGCTGGAATTGAAACCTCAACTTTTGGCTTTTGGCTGAGAGACACATATTTATCAACTCAGATATTGTTAAAGCAAATACCCTTTGAGAGAGACATATTTATCAACTCATGATATTGATAAGCCAAATGCCCTTTGATAATAAACTGCAAATTTGGTTTCTAAAAACTATAGATAAGATTCAAAAAAATTTCAATTTGCACAGGTAAAAACATGATACTTTTTTTTTTCTGAACTTGGTCCCTACATTTAAAAACCATTTATTTATTCAAGGGGTAAATTACACAAATGGTACATGTGGTTTCGGGTAATTTGTGTGGGTAGTCTTTAACTATATGTCTTTAACTTGGACGGTCTACATCGTTCCATTCGGAGAGGACACGAGGGAAGATACATGCGTAAGGGTAGGAGTGGGGGATGTGCAATTTTATTTGTGTAATTATAAATTATGAAATTAATTGGAAAAAATATGGGCAATATAGTCTTTTCACACACACACACACACACATATATATATATATATATATATATATATATATATATATAGGGTAAAGAGAATATACCTAACAACCTTATATAAGCTTAGGTAGCTAACCACATTATACTACGTCGTTTTACATTATATTTTCATTGCAATCGTCCAAGGTTCTTAAATTTCAACCCTTAACGGGATTTACTTCCAACATTTTCAGACATTCACCTTTATATTCCTCTTACATCATTTGAATTGTAGCGGTAGTATATGAAGCCCACTAGGAGGTATTCGACAGAAAGACGTCATTTGAAGGAAGATAATGGTGAAAGTCCAAAGGTTTGGAAGTAATCAAGTTACGAGGTTGAATTTTAAGAACTTTTGGCGATTACAATGCAAATATGATACAAAATTACGTAATATGATGTGGTTAGGTACCTAAGCTTATATAAGATTGTTAGGTATATTCATTTTACCCATATATATATATATATATATATATATATATATATATATATATATATATATATATATATATATATATATATATATATATATATATATGGGAAGGACCAAACATGCAAAAAAACACATCATTTGACCGTCCAAGTTAAAAGAAATTAGTGATTAACTAAGTAAATTATCTCAAACCACAAGGATCATTCCTGTAATTTACTTTATATTTTGTTAAATTCTTGCAAAATGACATTTTGCCATTTATTTTATTTTTTTCTAATATATTACTAAATCCTAAAATAAAGAATAAATGTACTCTCTCCGTCTTTCTTATTCCCCTACCCATTTCTTCCCCATATGCCATAGCCACACATAGCGGTTTGCAGGTACCATCATGTAGCCATTGCCACTAATAATTGTCGCTCAAGTATCGAAAAATTAACCCATCTATAAACAAACAGATATATGAAGAAAAGCTGGACCCAAAATCAAACCTTGATGGCAATAGACATCGTTAAGTCATGAACATTAGGCCTTCTGGTATACTGTCCGCGCCAAAGGTTGTGAAGGGCTTCCATGTTAGCCACCACAAACAACCACAACCCATCGGTATACTTACCACCTTGAAGGAGAGAGAAAAAACAGATAAAGATGTTGCAAGAGAGAAGAAGCCCACCATGACTATTCTAATGTGGTGTTGACCACAACCCACCACGGCCACGACCACGACACAAAAGGGGATGGTGTGATCGCTTGTGGTCGTTGCCACCTCAACCATGGACATGGTATGTGGCTCCCACTTTGGATGGCCTTAGCATGAGAGAATTATGGTGTGTTTAGTTACCGAAAAACTAGGAAAAAAATTCAAAGAAAAATGAGAATTTTGAAAACGCTTTTAATTCAACAATTTTTTAAAATTTTTTTTTACAGAAAATGAAAAATCTTTATTTTCCAAAGTAAAAAAAAACTTAGAAAATTTTAGAAAATTGATAAGTATTATTTTCCAAATTTTTTTATAACTCCAAAGTGTTTCTAAAATCTAAACAGACACTCACCCTCATGCCACCACTCCCACCCCTCTACCCACCCACTTTCAAGCCCCGGTACAATGCATAGAAACATTTAATCGGTCAGTTGGAGGGCAAATAAAGAACAAGTCAATGAGGAACAATCTTGAACTAATTATAGCCCAAATCAACCAAGGATTTACATTTTTGTGTTATGTTTTGTTCTATGTTTGAAGTGGAAACGATTTTCCCAAGATATTTTCATTGATAAAAATGTGAAACCACCAATGGCTTTTTTTCCTTCAGCACAGGATGATCAAAAGCTGGTTTACAATGAACCAAAACACACTCCATATATCCCCATCCGAACTCTGAGATAAATTAGTTTAATGGAATAAAATGAGATATGTTTTGAAGAACACGCAAAAACAGGGGATGATAATGCGAAGTGATTGTATGATTTTGACGCTTTAGTAAGAATGGGTGTTTATGGTAACAATCTAGACAGTTACATTTATTGAGTTGAGAGAAAGTTTGTTAATTTTCATGAGATGGGTTCTGATCAATCTAATTTTCTTTGACTCTTCCCCTGGCTGGAAATTTTAATTCATTCATCGGAAATCTTCAAATTGTGCCGCTGATATGGCCGGGAAAACAGTGGATCACAGCAAAGGGAAGAAAACAAAGGAAGAAATGGTTGGAAGAATCTGAAAGTTGTAACTGAAACCCATCGTAAACTCTTATGTACTTGAGTTATTCAAACAAATATGTTTCTTGTATTTGTTTTTCCTGATTTTTTTCCTTTTTTCTTTTCCTACATGAGCATTCTTCTTGTGGTGGGCGATCAGCCGGAAGAAGATGATTAAGGTAAAGAGGGCTTTGTACGTGGGCCACCCAGTTATATAATAATGTTATAAGATAAAGGGTTAATAACGTAAAAAAATAAAAATAAATAAATAAATAAAATTTCCTTTTAGTTCCAGATTCGCCATAACTTTTTGTTTTGGAGTCATTTCCGGGTCACCAACCGGTTATCACAAGTGCTGACATGTCACTTTGGCTGGACATCATGCAATTAGGTTTGCCACTTACAGGACATAAATACTTATTCTCAAGCATGATTATTTATACCAACTGGACCATCTTCTTTATCAGTTTCTTACGGGACATAAATAATTATTCTCAAACATGATTATTTGACTTGACCACAAAGGTAAAGGGGACTGGTAATACTCCTAGCATCTTGCCATATTGTATATTTTTTAGCTACATAAGATTTTTTTGACCCATATAGGATGAAAAGAATGGTGGCAAAAAGATAGAGTGGTAGCATTTAATGTTAGTGTTATTTTTATTTTGGAGAATAAATGAATGAAAAAACTAACCAATCATAGCCTTCAAATCGCTGCAAGCCTTTCTCTCACATCTCGCTAAACCTGTAGCGACTAGCGAGACATTTTTAGCGACTCCCCTAACTAGGGCTAAGGGGTGGCGTTTCAAAATCTTATCGACTCTTAGCGAGAATCGTAGTGCCTAAACTCCGCCTAGCCTAATTGAAAATTTAAGAATAAAAGTTGAAAGAGGGATTCGTCCAAAGACAAAAAGGTCCCAATAGGGATGAGCATATGGACCGGGAACCGGCTGGAACCGGTACCGGAACTGGAACCCGATGGAACCGGTAGGGCTGGGACCGGGACGATATTCTTGTGGATTTTTGAAACCGGGAACCGGTAGGAACTGGACCCGATAGAACCGACAAAAACTGGAACCGTATGTTAGTATTTCTCGAGGATCGGTTCCAACATTGAAGACACGGCAAGAACCGGTAGAAACAACAGTACAGTTCGGTTCCTATTTTTCACCAAGTTCGGTTCCCGGGCCGGTTTCGGTTCCGGCTAGGTCCGTTCCTTTGCTCATCCCTAGGTCCCAAAGCAAACTACTTGACCAATGAACCATTGACAATATTTCTTAAATATCCCCTTTAGCATATTTATATCTGGTGTATAAATACATACTTTTTTAATTTTAAAATACAAAATATATAATTATTTATTTTTAAAACTAAAGTTAAAAAAAACTTATTTTTTTTAACTTTATGACTATAAAAAAGCATAATTTTAAACATATAAAATAAAAAAATTATAAACTTTTATATATATATATATATATATATATATATATATATATATATATATATATATATATATAACATATTTTATTCATTTATATGTATACAATACGATTTTTCTATACATATAAGTTGATAAAATATTTTTTTTTATACATGCAAATTAAAAAATACGTTTCTAAAAAATCATATACAAATGAGGTAAACCGGACTACGTACCAAATTTATTATATTTATTGTGAATTTTGTGCATTAAACTGTAAATTGACTGTATTAAGGTGTGAATTAACTATATTAAGTTGTGAATTAACTGTTTAAAACCGTGAATTTTTTTTAAGATTTTGTGTTAATTTTTTTTTTATGAATTTTGTGTTTGCTTCTCATTATACATAAATATGATTTCTCTAATTTTGAATAAAGTATGTAAAATTTAAATTATGAATATAGTGTAAGTTAAACATTGAAAGAAGCACTAGCCTTAAAGATATTATTGTAAGTATTAATTTGAGAATATGGTTGTGAATGCATTTTTTTGTGTACTAAACTATGAATTTATTGTCTTGTGAATTCTGAGTGTTAAACCGTGAATTTATGTTTTAAATTGTAAATTGATTTCATTAAACTGTGAATTTATTATATTAAGCTGAGAATTTTGTGTATTGAACTGTGAATTTGTTGTACTAAGTAGTGAAATTTGTATATTAAACTGTGAATTAACTGTATTAAGAGTTTTAAGTTGATAATATGGATGTGAAATTATATATTTTTATGTATTAAACTATAAATTTATTGTATTAAGATGTGAAATTTTGCATTTAGCTATCATTTTTGTGTTTAAACTATGAATTAACTACATTAAGCTGTGATTTGTATGTTTAAATTATTGGCTGTGTATATTATATTGTGAATTTTATGTATTAAATTTTGATTTTTGTGTTTTAAACTGTAAACTTACTGCATTAAGCTGTGAATTTTCTGCTAAAACTATGAATTGACTTTATTAAGTTATAAATTTTAATGAATTTTATGTTAAAATATAAATGATTTACATATGAATGTTTAAAATAATTTTCCTATGAATATATTTTTTTGTTGTATAAATGTGTAAGAATGTATTAGTTTTTATAATTATTTTACATTAAACTCTGAATAAATGAATTAATTGGTTTATTAAATTGTGAATAGAGTATTTAAGCTCTCAATTAATTATTTTGATTCTAAATATAAAGACCTGAGTTGGAAAGAAGAATGATTGCGACGGTGACACACGTGGTTGGTCGTAGCGTATGGTAGTTAGTGGTGGTAGAGTTTTGATTTGACTTTTTTTATTTATGGGAATCAGTGTATAATGGATTGCATGATTTATGTTGTGAAATTTTTGTATTAAACTAAAAGTGAACTTTATTAAGTTGTATATTTTATATAAACTTTGTCTTAAAAATTGAATGAAGGTATGCATGAAATATTAAACTGTGTATTAGTAAATTTATATGTTTCTTAAACTGTGAATATGATATTTTAAACTGTGAATAACAATATTTTTTTTAAGAAATTTACAATTTACAAAGAAAAAAAGAAAATTAATTATATCCAGGCATAATTTTATTTATTTATTAAAGTTTTGTATGCAAAAACAAAATGACGTGTTAAAAAATATTATCAAAAAATGAGAACTACAAAGTTTGTTCTATTATGCTGTGAATACACTCAGAAAAATGTCATTGAATTTGGTGTTACTCCAGCCGCGGTCTGAAGTTGGTCCGACGACTTTTCGACAACAAGTAACAACTACTTGTAAAGTAGAAAATGGAAAAGTTTTGTTTAATATAATATATTAATGTTTAATTTGTCGAAAATGTCCTTAATGAAAAAAAAAATTGGTTCTTAGGGTTCTTCACCTTTTTGGTTCTTATTTGAACCACTCCCTCTATATATATATATATATTATATATATATATATATATATATATATATATATATATATATATATATATGAAATCATATCTTTTAGAAATTCCATCTTTTGGTGGCTGCATATGCTGACTAACAAGCAAGCTTTTTGTAAACAATATCTGCAGTGGATCGTCGTGCATGACTTATTTCTTTTCTTTTCTTTTTTTTCTCATTTTTTATATACATTAATATACAATTTCTCCTCTGTTGTAGTTTTAGATTGGTGAAAAGTTAATGATATGCCCTGCAATGTGGAATCGTCATCAATATTATTTGCTGAAATTGTCACAAAGTTGGAGGATTTGAAAATGAGTGCTAACTGAGACGTACATTTTTGAGTTAAACACAACACTATACATGTTGATTGTGGTTTACATTTTTTTCATATTTGGTATTTCACTTGATCTATCATTTTGTAATTCATCCCGAAAGTAATTAGTGTGGTATCTCTGTCACTAATGATGCTAAGATAGACCTTAGAAACATTAGACTTGTAGTCAATTAAGTTATATTAGTAGTTTTGTAGGTGTAGTACAAATCAGTTTCAATGAATGAGAGGCAATCTGCAGAAAATTCCAATGATGAATTATACAAGAAAATAAAGCAGAAATGAACTTTGCAACTTGGTCGATTAATTGCGATAAGAAGTTGTAGGTTTAAGTAGTAAGTGAGAGAACGAGTGTTCTGCATTTTAGTATAAAGTGTTTAAAAATTAAATTCATAAAAAGTTTGGAGTTTTACACAACATTTCTACTTGTCTCTTTCAAATGTTAAAGAATAGCGATTTCTCATACAAATGGATCGCTAGGGAGAAAGTCGGACGGGATTTTATACTTGAACAACAGGAGGAACAAATGATACAACGTATTTATACTCCAACACACTGAAATAACTAATTAACATCTCTATTAATGTACACCTTCGAATCATTTAAGCTGACAGAATTTGCTTCACGCGGTGCTCCCCGTTTAACCGTTTCTTTATTTAGCCCATTGCAACCATTGAACCTCAAATGTCGGATAGATGACATGTTAGTTAACCACATAGGCAGCTCTTGTATTCCGAATTTACGTATTTGTAACCAAGTCAGTGAGGTGAGCTGTTGTATTTCTTCTGGCATTGACTCCAAATCATCCCAACCTTCCAAAGATAACTTGTGAAGGTGGTTCCTTAACTTCTCAATGCCTTGGAGACTCGGGAAAGAATTGAGCTCCTTTGAGAACGGACCAAGTACCAAATGGTTTAAGAAGGCAAAACAGTCAAACATTTTTAGAGGCAAGGAATTCATTTTGCTGGAGTTGGTAATTTTCAAAGTCTTCAAAGAATGACACTGGTTGGGCAAATTGGTTATTCCTAAAAGACTATCACAACTGGAAATTACTAAAATTTTGAGAGATGTGAGGCCTTGTATGCTCTTAATGGACACCAGACCTGTGCAGTAACATATACTTAAGGAGACAAGAGGATGGAGATGGCATTCATCTAAGATAATAATCTTTGGGCAAAGACCAATCTCCAAGCTCTGGAGGAAAGGTGATATCATTTTTGAGTTGTTGGGTGCTCCATCTACCCACTTTTCCAGTCTTTCCATATTCCATAGTTTTAGAGATCTCAACGATAGAGACAAAGGCTTCGTTGATCCAGTAACATCAGAACTCCTTAAGCATGTCAAGTTATCCATATGCTCCAACACAAGATCCCGAAGATGTGGTAGCAGCTCAAGCATTGGAAGAAAGCGGCAGCTCCTACAGAAAGATAATTTGATCTCCACCAGCTTGTCAAGGGGAGTCCATTTCCTTTCAATATCAATTGCAGATGGCAGGTAATTATCACCAGAAAAATTGGCTATTCCTAAAAGACTATGGCAACGATTGATAGATAAAGATTCAAGAGATGTTAGGCCTTGTATGCTCTTAATGAACACTAGACCATTGCAGTTCGATATCTCTAAGGAAACAAGAGAGTGGGGATGGAATTCATCTAAGAGAATAATCTTTGGGCAATAACCAATCACCAACTTCTCAAGGACATGCGATATCATTTTTGAGCTGTTGGGTGCTCCAGCTATCCACCATTCCAGTCTTTTCATATTCCATACTTTTAGAGATCTCAACGATAGAGACAAAGGCTTCGTTGATCCAGTAACATCAGAACTCCTTAAGCATGTCAAGCTGTCCATATGCTCCAACACAAGATCCCGCAGATGTGGTAGGTGCTCAAGTGTCGGAAGAGAGAGGCAGCTACGACAGTCAGATAATGTGATTGACATGAGGTTGTTAAGGGGTGTCCATTTCCCTTCGATATTGATTGCCATCTTCATTACCCATTCCGGAAAATTATCACCAGAAAATCTTTTAATTGTCAATGTTTTCAGATCTCCAGGGGGTTGCAAGCCTTCCAATACATCCTTGTTGTTTCTGTTGGCACCTTTATTGTGCCCACTCCATTCGAATCCAATATTGGATAACTTTTTCTTGCTAGCTAAATCTGCCTTGACAGCATCCTCTTTCCTGCTAACATTTTCTAGAGCGGAAATGCAGAGATATCCGCTAAGGTTATTTAGATGACGTAGCACTTCAATACCATGTCCCATACTACTAAGCACTGTGAAGGAAGACAAATTTCGAAGAGAGGTCAGGTGTCCTACAATATTGGCGGGAATCTCCATGTGACCCTGGAAATATCGCAGGCTTATCAAATTTCTCATGGATTCTGGGAACTGCTCGAATCCAAAAGGCAACTTTAGAGTTTGCAAGTGGTATAATTTACCAATAGATTCCGGAAGAACATAGATCTCCGTATATGACAAATCAAGATGCCTGAGATGCACCAACTCTCCAATTGAATCGTGTAACTTATGTATATGATATCCTTTGAGTTTTAGGATTCGCATGCAGTTGAATCGTTGAAATGAAAATTTCTTCTCAACTTCACCCTCGATGAACAATGTACGCAATCTTCTAGCCACTGTATCCCTTTCAATGAGCTTAGAAATCTTGCCTTCTGATTCCTCAAACAATTGGTAAAAAACGAGATGCTTAACCTGAGGAATACGAGTGATATCATTATTCTTCACACCCGTCAGAACTAAGATTTCTTGTGTCGAAAGTGATAACAAAAGATCATGCACCAGATCATGCATACTACAATGAGTGATGTGACTATACCCATCCTTTTTAACATCTAACTGGAACAACGAATTGTTAACCAATATTTGAAAAATATCATTTCCCACATCCTCCATCTCCTTGTTTTTTGCCTCATCAGCTTGAACCAACCCTAAAGCCATCCAAAGTCGAACTAGTTCTCCCTTTTCCATGATCGTATCTTTCTTAAAGATGGAACAATATACAAAGCATTGCTTGATAATAGAATTAGGAAGATTATCAAAGCTCAGTTCTAAACTCTTTTGAACTTTACCCATTCCTTCTTCTAAATCCCAAACCTTGCTGTTTTTGATGGACAACCATTTCTCTGGATCACTGCAATTTGCCAACATGCCACCTAATACATTTAGTACCAACGGTAAACCACTACACTTTTTCAAAATCTCACGACCTATCGCCTCCAATTCCGCCGAAGGCGATTCTTCTGCCACAAATGCTCTTTCTCTAAAGATTGACCAACACTCATCATTGGAAAGCCTTTCTAGACGACACGAATCCCTGATCATATCGTGAGTTCCGATTTCAAGTTTCCGTGTAGTGACAAGAATGCCACTTCCATTTTGTGAGTTTACATTTAACATACAAGTCCTAAACTCTTCCCAGTATGGCCTCTCTTCAACCCAAACGTCATCCAAGACGAGCAAATATTTTTTTCCTCTCAACTTCTCTTCAAGACTTTTAATTAAATTGACCTTAGATTCTGACTCTGGTTTCTTTCCAGCAAGAGATTCATAGATCTTTGCAAGAAGAGTGATGATGTCAACCTTAACCGACACACACAACCATGCTCTCACATGAAAATAATCCTTGCTCTTTTTATCATTGTAAACCAACTTAGCCAAAGCTGTCTTCCCAATACCGCCCATTCCCACAATGGGAACAACCGTAAATTTTTCTTCCGTTCTTGATACCGTTAAAAGCTCTATGATACGTAGTTTATCATCATCCCTCCCTACAATTTTAAATTCTTCTCGATACAGTCTCCCGATAGAGGCGATCTGGAACAGGCTCAACAGGGTGCTCGTTTTGTAGTCCTAAACTGTTGGCTTGTGTATAGATCTCAAGCAACGATTTATTGATATTTTCGATTTTATGACCTATTTCATTATGAATTGAAAACTTTTTCAAGACTGGAAGAGATGATACCATTCTTTCACCCTGCTCTCGTTTCTTTATCTTACGCCTCAACATTTGGTAATCAATCTCATCCAACACATCATCAGCTTCACCCACAACATCTTTTAGCTGCTTCAGCCACACCATCACAGCCGCCTGTGTATCCTTTTTTCCCTCCGCATCGAGCAACTTGGCACGAACCATCTCCAATGTTCTGTGGAGGCCAGTAAGCTTTTCTTCATAACCCCAAGCAATGGCGATTTCACCGACAGCGATAGTCAACACCTTTTTCAGTATCCCCTCGGCGGCAATAACTACTAAAGCTTCGGCCATTTTCACTGTTGAGAAATCAAGAGAGTGAGATTATGAGAGAGACTGAGAGGGATGGAAAGAAGCTAGTGAAATGTGACGGAAACAAATCAAGTCTCAAGCATGTCCTTTCTTCATTTCTTACTCTTTTTTATGTTTATTAATATATCATTTTGTTTACTCTCGTACTTTTTGTATGCAATATTTTGTACATATACACCAGTTTATTTTTTTTATTTTTTTTAGTTTCGTATGCATGTTGTTGTATGAATATAAACATAATAATTAAACAAGATCACTTAATTATAATAAAAGATGGTTTTCTGTTAGATTTAGATTGAAGAGTAGAGTAGTGTGCATGTGTAAGCATAAAATAAAAGATGGTTTTCTGTTTGATTTAGATTTTCTGTTAGATTTATAAATAAATAAATAAATAAATAAGAGTAAAATGTAATTTCTTTTTATATATTAGAACAGCTTACATATACACAATGATTTACTCTTAAATCTATATCTTTCGTCCATAGCTGGAATTGAAACCTCAACTTTTGGCTTTTGGCTGAGAGACACATATTTATCAACTCAGATATTGTTAAAGCAAATACCCTTTGAGAGAGACATATTTATCAACTCATGATATTGATAAGCCAAATGCCCTTTGATAATAAACTGCAAATTTGGTTTCTAAAAACTATAGATAAGATTCAAAAAAATTTCAATTTGCACAGGTAAAAACATGATACTTTTTTTTTTTCTGAACTTGGTCCCTACATTTAAAAACCATTTATTTATTCAAGGGGTAAATTACACAAATGGTACATGTGGTTTCGGGTAATTTGTGTGGGTAGTCTTTAACTATATGTCTTTAACTTGGACGGTCTACATCGTTCCATTCGGAGAGGACACGAGGGAAGATACATGCGTAAGGGTAGGAGTGGGGGATGTGCAATTTTATTTGTGTAATTATAAATTATGAAATTAATTGGAAAAAAATATGGGCAATATAGTCTTTTCACAAACACACACACAAACACATATATATATATATATATATATATATATATATATATATATATATATATATATATATATAGGGTAAAGAGAATATACCTAACAACCTTATATAAGCTTAGGTAGCTAACCACATTATACTACGTCGTTTTACATTATATTTTCATTGCAATCGTCCAGGGTTCTTAAATTTCAACCCTTAACGGGATTTACTTCCAACATTTTCAGACATTCACCTTTATATTCCTCTTACATCATTTGAATTGTAGCGGTAGTATATGAAGCCCACTAGGAGGTATTCGACAGAAAGACGTCATTTGAAGGAAGATAATGGTGAAAGTCCAAAGGTTTTGGAAGTAATCAAGTTACGAGGTTGAATTTTAAGAACTTTTGGTGATTACAATGCAAATATGATACAAAATTACGTAATATGATGTGGTTAGGTACCTAAGCTTATATAAGATTGTTAGGTATATTCATTTTACCCATATATATATATATATATATATATATATATATATATATATATATATATATATATATATATATATATATTATATATATATATGGGAAGGACCAAACATGCAAAAAAACATATCATTTGACCGTCCAAGTTAAAAGAAATTAGTGATTAACTAAGTAAATTATCTCAAACCACAAGGATCATTCCTGTAATTTACTTTATATTTTGTTAAATTCTTGCAAAATGACATTTTTGCCATTTATTTTATTTTTTTCTAATATATTACTAAATCCTAAAATAAAGAATAAATGTACTCTCTCCGTCTTTCTTATTCCCCTACCCATTTCTTCCCCATATGCCATAGTCACACATAGCGGTTTGCAGGTACCATCATGTAGCCATTGCCACTAATAATTGTCGCTCAAGTATCGAAAAATTAACCCATCTATAAACAAACAGATATATGAAGAAAAGCTGGACCCAAAATCAAACCTTGATGGCAATAGACATCGTTAAGTCATGAACATTAGGCCTTCTGGTATACTGTCCGCGCCAAAGGTTGTGAAGGGCTTCCATGTTAGCCACCACAAACAACCACAACCCATCGGTATACTTACCACCTTGAAGGAGAGAGAAAAAACAGATAAAGATGTTGCAAGAGAGAAGAAGCCCACCATGACTATTCTAATGTGGTGTTGACCACAACCCACCACGGCCACGACCACGACACAAAAGGGGATGGTGTGATCGCTTGTGGTCGTTGCCACCTCAACCATGGACATGGTATGTGGCTCCCACTTTGGATGGCCTTAGCATGAGAGAATTATGGTGTGTTTAGTTACCGAAAAACTAGGAAAAAAATTCAAAGAAAAATGAGAATTTTGAAAACGCTTTTAATTCAACAATTTTTTTAAATTTTTTTTTACAGAAAATGAAAAATCTTTATTTTCCAAAGTAAAAAAAAACTTAGAAAATTTTAGAAAATTGATAATTATTATTTTCCAAATTTTTTTATAACTCCAAAGTGTTTCTAAAATCTAAACAGACACTCACCCTCATGCCACCACTCCCACCCCTCTACCCACCCACTTTCAAGCCCCGGTACAATGCATAGAAACATTTAATCGATCAGTTGGAGGGCTAATAAAGAACAAGTCAATGAGGAACAATCTTGAACTAATTATAGCCCAAATCAACCAAGGATTTACATTTTTGTGTTATGTTTTGTTCTATGTTTGAAGTGGAAACGATTTTCCCAAGATATTTTCATTGATAAAAATGTGAAACCACCAATGGCTTTTTTTTCTTTCAGCACAGGATGATCAAAAGCTGGTTTACAATGAACCAAAACACACTCCATATATCCCCATCCGAACTCTGAGATAAATTAGTTTAATGGAATAAAATGAGATATGTTTTGAAGAACACGCAAAAACAGGGGATGATAATGCGAAGTGATTGTATGATTTTGAAGCTTTAGTAAGAATGGGTGTTTATGGTAACAATCTAGACAGTTACATTTATTGAGTTGAGAGAAAGTTTGTTAATTTTCATGAGATGGGTTCTGATCAATCTAATTTTCTTTGACTCTTCCCCTGGCTGGAAATTTTAATTCATTCATCGGAAATCTTCAAATTGTGCCGCTGATATGGCCGGGAAAACAGTGGATCACAGCAAAAGGAAGAAAACAAAGGAAGAAATGGTTGGAAGAATCTGAAAGCTGTAACTGAAACCCATCGTAAACTCTTATGTACTTGAGTTATTCAAACAAATATGTTTCTTGTATTTGTTTTTCCTGATTTTTTTCCTTTTTTCTTTTCCTACATGAGCATTCTTCTTGTGGTGGGCGATCGGCCGGAAGAAGATGATTAAGGTAAAGAGGGCTTTGTACGTGGGCCACCCAGTTATATAATAATGTTATAAGATAAAGGGTTAATAACGTAAAAAAATAAAAATAAATAAATAAATAAAATTTCCTTTTAGTTCCAGATTCGCCATAACTTTTTGTTTTGGAGTCATTTCCGGGTCACCAACCGGTTATCACAAGTGCTGACATGTCACTTTGGCTGGACATCATGCAATTAGGTTTGCCACTTATAGGACATAAATACTTATTCTCAAGCATGATTATTTATACCAACTGGACCATCTTCTTTATCAGTTTCTTACGGGACATAAGTAATTATTCTCAAACATGATTATTTGACTTGACCACAAAGGTAAAGGGGACTGGTAATACTCCTAGCATCTTGCCATATTGTATATTTTTTAGCTACATAAGATTTTTTTGACCCATATAGGATGAAAAGAATGGTGGCAAAAAGATAGAGTGGTAGCATTTAATGTTAGTGTTATTTTTATTTTGGAGAATAAATGAATGAAAAAACTAACCAATCGTAGCCTTCAAATCGCTGCAAGCCTTTCTCTCACATCTCGCTAAACCTGTAGCGACTAGCGAGACATTTTTAGCGACTCCCCTAACTAGGGCTAAGGGGTGGCGTTTAAAAATCTTATCGACTCTTAGCGAGGATCGTAGTGCCTAAACTCCGCCTAGCCTAATTGAAAATTTAAGAATAAAAGTTGAAAGAGGGATTCGTCCAAAGACAAAAAGGTCCCAATAGGGATGAGCATATGGACCGGGAACCGGCTGGAACCGGTACCGGAACTGGAACCCGATGGAACCGGTAGGGCTGGGACCGGGACGATATTCTTGTGGATTTTTGAAACCGGGAACCGGTAGGAACTGGACCCGATAGAACCGACAAAAACTGGAACCGTATGTTAGTATTTCTCGAGGATCGGTTCCAACATTGAAGACACGGCAAGAACCGGTAGAAACAGCAGTACAGTTCGGTTCCTATTTTTCACCAAGTTCGGTTCCCGGGCCGGTTTCGATTCCGGCTAGGTCCGTTCCTTTGCTCATCCCTAGGTCCCAAAGCAAACTACTTGACCAATGAACCATTGACAATATTTCTTAAATATCCCCTTTAGCATATTTATATCTGGTGTATAAATACATACTTTTTTAATTTTAAAATACAAAATATATAATTATTTATTTTTAAAACTAAAGTTAAAAAAAACTTATTTTTTTTAACTTTATGACTATAAAAAAGCATAATTTTAAACATATAAAATAAAAAAATTAACTTTTATATATATATATATATATATATATATATATATATATATATATAACATATTTTATTCATTTATATGTATACAATACGATTTTTCTATACATATAAGTTGATAAAATATTTTTTTTATACATGCAAATTAAAAAATACGTTTCTAAAAAATCATATACAAATGAGGTAAACCGGACTACGTACCAAATTTATTGTGAATTTTGTGCATTAAACTGTAAATTGACTGTATTAAGGTGTGAATTAACTATATTAAGTTGTGAATTAACTGTTTAAAACCGTGAATTTTTTTTAAGAATTTTGTGTTAATTTTTTTTTTATGAATTTTGTGTTTGCTTCTCATTATACATAAATATGATTTCTCTAATTTTGAATAAAGTATGTAAAATTTAAATTATGAATATAGTGTAAGTTAAACATTGAAAGAAGCACTAGCCTTAAAGATATTATTGTAAGTATTAATTTGAGAAGATGGTTGTGAATGCATTTTTTTTGTGTACTAAACTATGAATTTATTGTCTTGTGAATTCTGAGTGTTAAACCGTGAATTTATGTTTTAAATTGTAAATTGATTTCATTAAACTGTGAATTTATTATATTAAGCTGAGAATTTTGTGTATTGAACTGTGAATTTGTTGTACTAAGTAGTGAAATTTGTATATTAAACTGTGAATTAACTGTATTAAGAGTTTTAAGTTGATAATATGGATGTGAAATTATATATTTTTATGTATTAAACTATAAATTTATTGTATTAAGATGTGAAATTTTGCATTTAGCTATCATTTTTGTGTTTAAACTATGAATTAACTACATTAAGCTGTGATTTGTATGTTTAAATTATTGGCTGTGTATATTATATTGTGAATTTTATGTATTAAATTTTGATTTTTGTGTTTTAAACTGTAAACTTACTGCATTAAGCTGTGAATTTTCTGCTAAAACTATGAATTAACTTTATTAAGTTATAAATTTTAATGAATTTTATGTTAAAATATAAATGATTTACATATGAATGTTTAAAATAATTTTCCTATGAATATATTTTTTTGTTGTATAAATGTGTAAGAATGTATTAGTTTTTATAATTATTTTACATTAAACTCTGAATAAATGAATTAATTGGTTTATTAAATTGTGAATAGAGTATTTAAGCTCTCAATTAATTATTTTGATTCTAAATATAAAGACCTGAGTTGGAAAGAAAGAATGATTGCGACGGTGACACACGTGGTTGGTCGTAGCGTATTAGTGGTGGTAGAGTTTTGATTTGACTTTTTTTATTTATGGGAATCAGTGTATAATGGATTGCATGATTTATGTTGTGAAATTTTTGTATTAAACTAAAAGTGAACTTTATTAAGTTGTATATTTTATATAAACTTTGTCTTAAAAATTGAATGAAGGTATGCATGAAATATTAAACTGTGTATTAGTAAATTTATATGTTTCTTAAACTGTGAATATGATATTTTAAACTGTGAATAACAATATTTTTTTTAAGAAATTTACAATTTACAAAGAAAAAAAGAAAATTAATTATATCCAGGCATAATTTTATTTATTTATTAAAGTTTTGTATGCAAAAACATAATGACGTGTTAAAAAATATTATCAAAAAATGAGAACTACAAAGTTTGTTCTATTATGCTGTGAATACACTCAGAAAAATGTCATTGAATTTGGTGTTACTCCAGCCGCGGTCTGAAGTTGGTCCGACGACTTTTCGACAACAAGTAACAACTACTTGTAAAGTAGAAAATGGAAAAGTTTTGTTTAATATAGTATATTAATGTTTAGTTTGTCGAAAATGTCCTTAATGAAAAAAAAAATTGGTTCTTAGGGTTCTTTACCTTTTTGGTTCTTATTTGAACCACTCCCTCTATATATATATATATATATATATATATATATATATATATATATATATATATATATATATATATATATATATATATATATATATATGAAATCATATCTTTTAGAAATTCCATCTTTTGGTGGCTGCATATGCTGACTAACAAGCAAGCTTTTTGTAAACAATATCTGCAGTGGATCGTCGTGCATGACTTATTTCTTTTCTTTTCTTTTTTTTTCTCATTTTTTATATACATTAATATACAATTTCTCCTCTGTTGTAGTTTTAGATTGGTGAAAAGTTAATGATATGCCCTGCAATGTGGAATCGTCATCAATATTATTTGCTGAAATTGTCACAAAGTTGGAGGATTTGAAAATGAGTGCTAACTGAGACGTACATTTTTGAGTTAAACACAACACTATACATGTTGATTGTGGTTTACATTTTTTTCATATTTGGTATTTCACTTGATCTATCATTTTGTAATTCATCCCGAAAGTAATTAGTGTGGTATCTCTGTCACTAATGATGCTAAGATAGACCTTAGAAACATTAGACTTGTAGTCAATTAAGTTATATTAGTAGTTTTGTAGGTGTAGTACAAATCAGTTTCAATGAATGAGAGGCAATCTGCAGAAAATTCCAATGATGAATTATACAAGAAAATAAAGCAGAAATGAACTTTGCAACTTGGTCGATTAATTGCGATAAGAAGTTGTAGGTTTAAGTAGTAAGTGAGAGAACGAGTGTTCTGCATTTTAGTATAAAGTGTTTAAAAATTAAATTCATAAAAAGTTTGGAGTTTTACACAACATTTCTACTTGTCTCTTTCAAATGTTAAAGAATAGCGATTTCTCATACAAATGGATCGCTAGGGAGAAAGTCGGACGGGATTTTATACTTGAACAACAGGAGGAACAAATGATACAACGTATTTATACTCCAACACACTGAAATAACTAATTAACATCTCTATTAATGTACACCTTCGAATCATTTAAGCTGACAGAATTTGCTTCACGCGGTGCTCCCCGTTTAACCGTTTCTTTATTTAGCCCATTGCAACCATTGAACCTCAAATGTCGGATAGATGACATGTTAGTTAACCACATAGGCAGCTCTTGTATTCCGAATTTACGTATTTGTAACCAAGTCAGTGAGGTGAGCTGTTGTATTTCTTCTGGCATTGACTCCAAATCATCCCAACCTTCCAAAGATAACTTGTGAAGGTGGTTCCTTAACTTCTCAATGCCTTGGAGACTCGGGAAAGAATTGAGCTCCTTTGAGAACGGACCAAGTACCAAATGGTTTAAGAAGGCAAAACAGTCAAACATTTTTAGAGGCAAGGAATTCATTTTGCTGCAGTTGGTAATTTTCAAAGTCTTCAAAGAATGACACTGGTTGGGCAAATTGGTTATTCCTAAAAGACTATCACAACTGGAAATTACTAAAATTTTGAGAGATGTGAGGCCTTGTATGCTCTTAATGGACACCAGACCTGTGCAGTAACATATACTTAAGGAGACAAGAGGATGGAGATGGCATTCATCTAAGATAATAATCTTTGGGCAAAGACCAATCTCCAAGCTCTGGAGGAAAGGTGATATCATTTTGAGTTGTTGGGTGCTCCATCTACCCACTTTTCCAGTCTTTCCATATTCCATAGTTTTAGAGATCTCAACGATAGAGACAAAGGCTTCGTTGATCCAGTAACATCAGAACTCCTTAAGCATGTCAAGTTGTCCATATGCTCCAACACAAGATCCCGAAGATGTGGTAGCAGCTCAAGCATTGGAAGAAAGCGGCAGCTCCTACAGAAAGATAATTTGATCTCCACCAGCTTGTCAAGGGGAGTCCATTTCCTTTCAATATCAATTGCAGATGGCAGGTAATTATCACCAGAAAAATTGGCTATTCCTAAAAGACTATGGCAACGATTGATAGATAAAGATTCAAGAGATGTTAGGCCTTGTATGCTCTTAATGAACACTAGACCATTGCAGTTCGATATCTCTAAGGAAACAAGAGAGTGGGGATGGAATTCATCTAAGAGAATAATCTTTGGGCAATAACCAATCACCAACTTCTCAAGGACATGCGATATCATTTTGAGCTGTTGGGTGCTCCAGCTATCCACCATTCCAGTCTTTTCATATTCCATAGTTTTAGAGATCTCAACGATAGAGACAAAGGCTTCGTTGATCCAGTAACATCAGAACTCCTTAAGCATGTCAAGCTGTCCATATGCTCCAACACAAGATCCCGCAGATGTGGTAGGTGCTCAAGTGTCGGAAGAGAGAGGCAGCTACGACAGTCAGATAATGTGATTGACATGAGGTTGTTAAGGGGTGTCCATTTCCCTTCGATATTGATTGCCATCTTCATTACCCATTCCGGAAAATTATCACCAGAAAATCTTTTAATTGTCAATGTTTTCAGATCTCCAGGGGGTTGCAAGCCTTCCAATACATCCTTGTTGTTTCTGTTGGCACCTTTATTGTGCCCACTCCATTCGAATCCAATATTGGATAACTTTTTCTTGCTAGCTAAATCTGCCTTGACAGCATCCTCTTTCCTGCTAACATTTTCTAGAGCGGAAATGCAGAGATATCCGCTAAGGTTATTTAGATGACGTAGCACTTCAATACCATGTCCCATACTACTAAGCACTGTGAAGGAAGACAAATTTCGAAGAGAGGTCAGGTGTCCTACAATATTGGCGGGAATCTCCATGTGACCCTGGAAATATCGCAGGCTTATCAAATTTCTCATGGATTCTGGGAACTGCTCGAATCCAAAAGGCAACTTTAGAGTTTGCAAGTGGTATAATTTACCAATAGATTCCGGAAGAACATAGATCTCCGTATATGACAAATCAAGATGCCTGAGATGCACCAACTCTCCAATTGAATCGTGTAACTTATGTATATGATATCCTTTGAGTTTTAGGATTCGCATGCAGTTGAATCGTTGAAATGAAAATTTCTTCTCAACTTCACCCTCGATGAACAATGTACGCAATCTTCTAGCCACTGTATCCCTTTCAATGAGCTTAGAAATCTTGCCTTCTGATTCCTCAAACAATTGGTAAAAAACGAGATGCTTAACCTGAGGAATACGAGTGATATCATTATTCTTCACACCCGTCAGAACTAAGATTTCTTGTGTCGAAAGTGATAACAAAAGATCATGCACCAGATCATGCATACTACAATGAGTGATGTGACTATACCCATCCTTTTTAACATCTAACTGGAACAACGAATTGTTAACCAATATTTGAAAAATATCATTTCCCACATCCTCCATCTCCTTGTTTTTTGCCTCATCAGCTTGAACCAACCCTAAAGCCATCCAAAGTCGAACTAGTTCTCCCTTTTCCATGATCGTATCTTTCTTAAAGATGGAACAATATACAAAGCATTGCTTGATAATAGAATTAGGAAGATTATCAAAGCTCAGTTCTAAACTCTTTTGAACTTTACCCATTCCTTCTTCTAAATCCCAAACCTTGCTGTTTTTGATGGACAACCATTTCTCTGGATCACTGCAATTTGCCAACATGCCACCTAATACATTTAGTACCAACGGTAAACCACTACACTTTTTCAAAATCTCACGACCTATCGCCTCCAATTCCGCCGAAGGCGATTCTTCTGCCACAAATGCTCTTTCTCTAAAGATTGACCAACACTCATCATTGGAAAGCCTTTCTAGACGACACGAATCCCTGATCATATCGTGAGTTCCGATTTCAAGTTTCCGTGTAGTGACAAGAATGCCACTTCCATTTTGTGAGTTTACATTTAACATACAAGTCCTAAACTCTTCCCAGTATGGCCTCTCTTCAACCCAAACGTCATCCAAGACGAGCAAATATTTTTTTCCTCTCAACTTCTCTTCAAGACTTTTAATTAAATTGACCTTAGATTCTGACTCTGGTTTCTTTCCAGCAAGAGATTCATAGATCTTTGCAAGAAGAGTGATGATGTCAACCTTAACCGACACACACAACCATGCTCTCACATGAAAATAATCCTTGCTCTTTTTATCATTGTAAACCAACTTAGCCAAAGCTGTCTTCCCAATACCGCCCATTCCCACAATGGGAACAACCGTAAATTTTTCTTCCGTTCTTGATACCGTTAAAAGCTCTATGATACGTAGTTTATCATCATCCCTCCCTACAATTTTAAATTCTTCTCGATACAGAACAGTCTCCCGATAGAGGCGATCTGGAACAGGCTCAACAGGGTGCTCGTTTTGTAGTCCTAAACTGTTGGCTTGTGTATAGATCTCAAGCAACGATTTATTGATATTTTCGATTTTATGACCTATTTCATTATGAATTGAAAACTTTTCAAGACTGGAAGAGATGATACCATTCTTTCACCCTGCTCTCGTTTCTTTATCTTACGCCTCAACATTTGGTAATCAATCTCATCCAACACATCATCAGCTTCACCCACAACATCTTTTAGCTGCTTCAGCCACACCATCACAGCCGCCTGTGTATCCTTTTTTCCCTCCGCATCGAGCAACTTGGCACGAACCATCTCCAATGTTCTGTGGAGGCCAGTAAGCTTTTCTTCATAACCCCAAGCAATGGCGATTTCACCGACAGCGATAGTCAACACCTTTTTCAGTATCCCCTCGGCGGCAATAACTACTAAAGCTTCGGCCATTTTCACTGTTGAGAAATCAAGAGAGTGAGATTATGAGAGAGACTGAGAGGGATGGAAAGAAGCTAGTGAAATGTGACGGAAACAAATCAAGTCTCAAGCATGTCCTTTCTTCATTTCTTACTCTTTTTTATGTTTATTAATATATCATTTTGTTTACTCTCGTACTTTTTGTATGCAATATTTTGTACATATACACCAGTTTATTTTTTTTATTTTTTTTTAGTTTCGTATGCATGTTGTTGTATGAATATAAACATAATAATTAAACAAGATCACTTAATTATAATAAAAGATGGTTTTCTGTTAGATTTAGATTGAAGAGTAGAGTAGTGTGCATGTGTAAGCATAAAATAAAAGATGGTTTTCTGTTTGATTTAGATTTTCTGTTAGATTTATAAATAAATAAATAAATAAATAAGAGTAAAATGTAATTTCTTTTTATATATTAGAACAGCTTACATATACACAATGATTTACTCTTAAATCTATATCTTTCGTCCATAGCTGGAATTGAAACCTCAACTTTTGGCTTTTGGCTGAGAGACACATATTTATCAACTCAGATATTGTTAAAGCAAATACCCTTTGAGAGAGACATATTTATCAACTCATGATATTGATAAGCCAAATGCCCTTTGATAATAAACTGCAAATTTGGTTTCTAAAAACTATAGATAAGATTCAAAAAAATTTCAATTTGCACAGGTAAAAACATGATACTTTTTTTTTTTCTGAACTTGGTCCCTACATTTAAAAACCATTTATTTATTCAAGGGGTAAATTACACAAATGGTACATGTGGTTTCGGGTAATTTGTGTGGGTAGTCTTTAACTATATGTCTTTAACTTGGACGGTCTACATCGTTCCATTCGGAGAGGACACGAGGGAAGATACATGCGTAAGGGTAGGAGTGGGGGATGTGCAATTTTATTTGTGTAATTATAAATTATGAAATTAATTGGAAAAAATATGGGCAATATAGTCTTTTCACACACACACACACACACACACACACATATATATATATATATATATATATATATATATATATATATATATATATATATATATATATAGGGTAAAGAGAATATACCTAACAACCTTATATAAGCTTAGGTAGCTAACCACATTATACTACGTCGTTTTACATTATATTTTCATTGCAATCGTCCAAGGTTCTTAAATTTCAACCCTTAACTGGATTTACTTCCAACATTTTCAGACATTCACCTTTATATTCCTCTTACATCATTTGAATTGTAGCGGTAGTATATGAAGCCCACTAGGAGGTATTCGACAGAAAGACGTCATTTGAAGGAAGATAATGGTGAAAGTCCAAAGGTTTTGGAAGTAATCAAGTTACGAGGTTGAATTTTAAGAACTTTTGGCGATTACAATGCAAATATGATACAAAATTACGTAATATGATGTGGTTAGGTACCTAAGCTTATATAAGATTGTTAGGTATATTCATTTTACCCATATATATATATATATATATATATATATATATATATATATATATATATATATATATATATATATATATGGGAAGGACCAAACATGCAAAAAAAACATATCATTTGACCGTCCAAGTTAAAAGAAATTAGTGCTTAACTAAGTAAATTATCTCAAACCACAAGGATCATTCCTGTAATTTACTTTATATTTTGTTAAATCCTTGCAAAATGACATTTTTGCCATTTATTTTATTTTTTTCTTATATATTACTAAATCCTAAAATAAAGAATAAATGTACTCTCTCCGTCTTTCTTATTCCCCTACCCATTTCTTCCCCATATGCCATAGCCACACATAGCGGTTTGCAGGTACCATCATGTAGCCATTGCCACTAATAATTGTCGCTCAAGTATCGAAAAATTAACCCATCTATAAACAAACAGATATATGAAGAAAAGTCGGACCCAAAATCAAACCTTGATGGCAATAGACATCGTTAAGTGATGAACATTAGGCCTTCTGGTATACTGTCCGCGCCAAAGGTTGTGAAGGGCTTCCATGTTAGCCACCACAAACAACCACAACCCATCGGTATACTTACCACCTTGAAGGAGAGAGAAAAAACAGATAAAGATGTTGCAAGAGAGAAGAAGCCCACCATGACTATTCTAATGTGGTGTTGACCACAACCCACCACGGCCACGACCACGACACAAAAGGGGATGGTGTGATCGCTTGTGGTCGTTGCCACCTCAACCATGGACATGGTATGTGGCTCCCACTTTGGATGGCCTTAGCATGAGAGAATTATGGTGTGTTTAGTTACCGAAAAACTAGGAAAAAAATTCAAAGAAAAATGAGAATTTTGAAAACGCTTTTAGTTCAACAATTTTTTAAAATTTTTTTTTACAGAAAATGAAAAATCTTTATTTTCCAAAGTAAAAAAAAAACTTAGAAAATTTTAGAAAATTGATAATTATTATTTTCCAAATTTTTTTATAACTCCAAAGTGTTTCTAAAATCTAAACAGACACTCACCCTCATGCCACCACTCCCACCCCACTACCCACCCACTTTCAAGCCCCGGTACAATGCATAGAAACATTTAATCGATCAGTTGGAGGGCTAATAAAGAACAAGTCAATGAGGAACAATCTTGAACTAATTATAGCCCAAATCAACCAAGGATTTACATTTTTGTATTATGTTTTGTTCTATGTTTGAAGTGGAAACGATTTTCCCAAGATATTTTCATTGATAAAAATGTGAAACCACCAATGGCTTTTTTTTTCTTTCAGCACAAGATGATCAAAAGCTGGTTTACAATGAACCAAAACACACTCCATATATCCCCATCCGAACTCTGAGATAAATTAGTTTAATGGAATAAAATGAGATATGTTTTGAAGAACACGCAAAAACAGGGGATGATAATGCGAAGTGATTGTATGATTTTGACGCTTTAGTAAGAATGGGTGTTTATGGTAACAATCTAGACAGTTACATTTATTGAGTTGAGAGAAAGTTTGTTAATTTTCATGAGATGGGTTCTGATCAATCTAATTTTCTTTGACTCTTCCCCTGGCTGGAAATTTTAATTCATTCATCGAAAATCTTCAAATTGTGCCGCTGATATGGCCGGGAAAACAGTGGAGCACAGCAAAAGGAAGAAAACAAAGGAAGAAATGGTTGGAAGAATCTGAAAGCTGTAACTGAAACCCATCGTAAACTCTTATGTACTTGAGTTATTCAAACAAATCTGTTTCTTGTATTTGTTTTTCCTGATTTTTTTCCTTTTTTCTTTTCCTACATGAGCATTCTTCTTGTGGTGGGCGATCGGCCGGAAGAAGATGATTAAGGTAAAGAGGGCTTTGTACGTGGGCCACCCAGTTATATAATAATGTTATAAGATAAAGGGTTAATAACGTAAAAAAAATAAAAATAAATAAATAAATAAATAAAATTTCCTTTTAGTTCCAGATTCGCCATAACTTTTTGTTTTGGAGTCATTTCCGGGTCACCAACCGGTTATCACAAGTGCTGACATGTCACTTTGGCTGGACATCATGCAATTAGGTTTTGTAAGTCAATTAGGTTTGCCACTTACAGGACATAAATACTTATTCTCAAGCATGATTATTTATACGAACTGGACCATCTTCTTTATCAGTTTCTTACGGGACATAAATAATTATTCTCAAACATGATTATTTGACTTGACCACAAAGGTAAAGGGGACTGGTAATACTCCTAGCATCTTGCCATATTGTATATTTTTTAGCTACATAAGATTTTTTTTGACCCATATAGGATGAAAAGAATGGTGGCAAAAAGATAGAGTGGTAGCATTTAATGTTAGTGTTATTTTTATTTTGGAGAATAAATGAATGAAAAAACTAACCAATCATAGCCTTCAAATCGCTGCAAGCCTTTCTCTCACATCTCGCTAAACCTGTAGCGACTAGCGAGACATTTTTAGCGACTCCCCTAACTAGGGCTAAGGGGTGGCGTTTCAAAATCTTATCGACTCTTAGCGAGGATCGTAGTGCCTAAACTCCGCCTAACCTAATTGAAAATTTAAGAATAAAAGTTGAAAGAGGGATTCGTCCAAAGACAAAAAGGTCCCAATAGGGATGAGCATATGGACCGGGAACCGGCTGGAACCGGTACCGGAACTGGAACCCGATGGAACCGGTAGGGCTGGGACCGGGATGATATTCTTGTGGATTTTTGAAACCGGGATCCGGTAGGAACTGGACCCGATAGAACCGACAAAAACTGGAACCGTATGTTAGTATTTTCTCGAGGATCGGTTCCAACATTGAAGACACGGCAAGAACCGGTAGAAACAGCAGTACAGTTCGGTTCCTATTTTTCACCAAGTTCGGTTCCCGGGCCGGTTTCGGTTCCGGTTAGGTCCGTTCCTTTGCTCATCTCTAGGTCCCAAAGCAAACTACTTGACCAATGAACCATTGACAATATTTCTTAAATATCCCCTTTAGCATATTTATATCTGGTGTATAAATACATATTTTTTTAATTTTAAAATACAAAATATATAATTATTTATTTTTAAAACTAAAGTTAAAAAAAGCTTATTTTTTTTTAACTTTATGACTATAAAAAAGCATAATTTTAAACATATAAAATAAAAAAAATTATTAACTTTTATATATATATATATATATATATATATATATATATAACATATTTTATTCATTTATATGTATACAATACGATTTTTCTATACATATAAGTTGATAAAATATTTTTTTTATACATGCAAATTAAAAAATACGTTTCTAAAAAATCATATACAAATGAGGTAAACCGGACTACGTACAAAATTTATTATATTTATTGTGAATTTTGTGCATTAAACTGTAAATTGACTGTATTAAGGTGTGAATTAACTATATTAAATTGTGAATTAACTGTTTAAAACCGTGAATTTTTTTTAAGAATTTTGTGTTAATTTTTTTTTTTTATGAATTTTGTGTTTGCTTCTCATTATACATAAATATGATTTCTCTAATTT